ACAGTTTTGAAGGTACATATATTACTGCCACTTGAGTGGTAGATATGCAGACAAGTTTATTCTCTAGTATTGTGACCTAGTGTCTTTTTTTTTTTAATTTTTATTTTAAAGAGTAAAAGAAGGATAACATAATAATAGGGGGGACTTAGCAAATTACAGACAAAATGGTAGGAAATTATCAATGGTTATCGTTTTACAATGAGATGAATTTTAAAACCTTCATGGAAATCTCCTATTCTCAGGATCCACCAGGGCAAATGAGTTTAGGAAGTAAAGCTGGAGTTGGCAGATTCTCTGCTTCAGCTGCTTGAATACAAGCCTGTCTTCTGTGGTGCTGATCCCCTCTCTTTGGCTACGGAGTACCAGGAAGATTACATGATCTGGTCATCTCGGAGTTGGTTAAAAGGTCAGTTCCAGGTTATGGACTCACAAAAGAGAAATAGGATCAGGGATCGGGTGCTTCGATACTCCTCCCTTGATATCCCCCAATTTTGGTTGAAGGTAAAGAAATTCGGGTACATGTTGAATCATTCTGATAAGAAGGGGTCAAACTAGATCCAGGCCCAGTTTACCTTTTTCCTACTGTAGTATTTTTTAAAAGAACCATATACTCTCTGGAACCAATGCTTGGCGGGCAGATGGTGGGCTCAGCCCTGCATCCCGTGGGGAGAGTTAGAGGGAGGGAGATACACAGCCTGAAATCTCGTAGTTCATTCTCGGCAATTGGCAGCTCTCGTTGTTTGAAAGAGATTATTATCATTATTTTTTTTCTGGGTAGTTACACCGGTTAAATCCAAATCCATGGACTGAACAACAGGAAAATAGATTGCATTTCACAATCAAAGGACAAATTCCCATGATCCTGAGATTTTTCTGGGATGATGAATTTTCTATCATCGGCAATGAACAAAATAGTTACTTCTTTGTAATGTTTTGGTAGATAGATCAGAGCATAAGAAGACTTGGGTAAGTTGACAGTGCATCTATGGTCCCTCAAATCGATATGCATTGTGGAACTATCGTCATTTCCTCCTACCCTTGACATCCCTCATGGGGTCCAAACACACGTCGATCTGACCTAGGTTCTTTCCTTAACTAACTCTTTACAGGTGGCCTTGTTTCTAGCTTTCGGGAGACCAGGACCCAAGGCTCACTTTATCCAAAGTGTACTCACCACATGTCTTGCAAAGTTGGTTTGGAATAAGATGAAAGAATAGGAGTCCCACGAAGGGGAGCAGGCGTGACTGTCCCATGTCTCCGGCTGGCTTGCCAGTGTTGGGGCTTGGCTCGGGTGCCGGGCAGAGGGTACTGAGAGCTCTCCTTCAGGTTGCCTCTGTCGCTGTCACTCAAGCAAGTATTGCGCAGTACCCGGAGGTGTGGGTCAAGCGTATTTGTGCAAACAATGTGATAAGTCAGGAAGAAGCCCTCAAAGCTGTGGCTAGGGACAATGAGGAAATAATTTCTCTTTGTTTCTTGCTCTAAGGTTCACATTTGTTACTTGTTTTGAGCCCAATAGATATAAATTAGCCAAGTGACTGTTTTTAGTAACATCTTCTTCCTTTTCATTCCACTTTGACTGTATTTCATTTCTATCTCCTGAGAAATTAGATCGGATGGGGCAAGGGCATAAAACACAAAACAAGGAAAGTAGAAATTTTAGGTTTGAGCCAGGCCTGGTGGCACACGTCTGTCATCCCAGCACTTGGGAGGCTGAAGCAGGAGGGTCGTTGCGAGTTTGAAGCCAGCCTGGGCTACAAAGTGAGCTCAAGGCCAGCCTGAACTGCATAGCCAGACCCTGTCTCAAAAAAAAAAAAAAAAATTTAAGTGAGAAATTGGAGCAGGCTGGCTGAGGGAGGCTGCCGGCACTTGGGAGAACCCTTGGTATGGTGGTTTTGACCAAAGGTTTTCTCTGAAATGGACCGCCATGGTGTTTCCTTCCCCAGGAGGGAAACGGAGAGGTATTATCAGATGTGGCTCTGCGCCTGCCAGGGTAGTGGCTCACTGGTACCGGTGAGAAGTGTGCCCTACTGCAGTACTTCTAAGAGTGATTACAGGACACTACCAACCTAGCTCAGGACATTACCACGACTTAGGATATGCTCTTGGCATTGTGCTCTGCCATGGCCAAATTTTCCATGTCAGTTTTATTGGCTATGGGGTGCCAAGATGAAACATTTCTGGATGTGCCTGTCAGACAATTTCCAGACAAGATTAGAATTCAGATCAGTGATTCCCTGAAAGAGACTTCCCTCTCCCATGAGAGTGGACATCATGATTGCACTGAGGGTCTGAACAAAAGGTGGAAGAAGGCAGGCTTTACCCCTTGCTGCCTCCTTCCAGCCGGTTTGAGCCCGGGCATCTCATCGCACTCCCTCCAGACCTAGGTTCAGGACCTTTGGAGCCTCTGGTTCTTAGGCTTTTTTTTTTGTTTGTTTGTTTTTGGTTTTTTTTCCGGTACCGGGAACCAAACTCACGACCTTGCGCTTGCCAGGCAGGCGCTTTTGCCGCTGAGCTAAATCCCCAGCCCCTGGTTCTTAGGCTTTTGGACTCTCACTGAATTACACCAGGGGCTTTCTCAGATCTCAGCTTGCAGGCAAGGGACGATGGGACTTCTTAGCCTTCCTGACTGCAGGAATCGATTCCCCATCATCCCTCTCCCTCTCGCCTTACTTTTCCCCTCTGTTTTGTTTCTCACTCTGGGAGCCCTGACTAATACAACTTTATTACGTAGCACCTTGTCCAGTCCACAGACACACTCACATTCAGCATAAAATATCACAACAGAAGCTGGGGAATCCAAGCTCGCACAGATCTGTCTAGGCGCAGGCTGGTTGTGGGTGTTGTGCTGTGCGGTGTAGGAGTTGAGGGGTTGTCCTGAGCCGTGAGCAGGCTCATCGATGTCCCTGGCCACGAGAACTCCTTCCTCCCCCAGTGGTCATGACAAGGAGCATCTCCGGGCATTGCCATGTGCTTCCTGGTGGGCAACACTGCAACCCCTGCCTCCTCGAGATGGGAAAGAGTCTCAAGACTTCAAGCAGTTCATGTTCCATGGTGGGATGATCTCACACTTACCTAACTTTACCGATGCAGTTTGGCCCCCGCCAAGAGCAGGACCAATAATATCATCCTTTTCAATCTTTTCTTACTCCTGTCCTCACTTCCACCCACACGTAGATGATTTTCTACATTCCTTCTTAAAACCACTCCTGAGTATACTCTCAGCTCCTTGGTCTCTTTCTTGGTTTCTAATATTTTTTGGACCCTGCCCTGCTTAACTCCAGCTCTCTGTCTATGCTGCGTCTGAACCCACATGGTTTAATGAGGCTGCTGTCATTGGAATGTGCGTGTCCCTCAAAATTTGTAAGTTGAAACCCCACCTCCGAGGTGACGCCATTAGGGGTGGGTCCTTCGGGAGCTGATTAGGTCAAGGAAGTGGAGTCCTCACAAATGGTCCTAGTGGGGCTGGGGATTTAGCTCAGCGGCAAAAGCGCCTGCCTGGCAGGTGCAAGGTCGTGAGTTCGGTTCCCGGTACCGGAGAAAAACCCAAAAAAATAAAAAGAAAAATAAAAAAAATAAAAAACAAATGGTCCTAGTGCCTCTATTAAGAAAGCCCTAGTGAGACCCTTCCTCCTTCCACCGTGTGAGGAGACAAGAAGAGGCTGTCATCTATGTGCACCCTTGTCGGAGATCCAACCTGCTGTCACCTTGGTCTGGGGCCTCCCAAGGTCCAGATCTAAGAGAAATGATTGCTCATTTATAACCTGTATAGGTTCTGGTCAGCAGCGTGAACAGATGAAGACAGAGCGTGAAGAAAAGTGACCCACGGTGCTGATTTTGCTCACTAATCTCTAGCAGACCTGCAGTGCCGACCGGCAGTCCAGCTGTCATTCCCTACACACTTACGTTTCTTATTATCCTTTAAAATGGCATTGTACATATTGTTGGTCCTCAAAGCTCTAGCACCTACTCTTCTGTTCTCACCCTCCTCTGGTAACCTCAATGCCTACTTCTTCTGTGAGGTGTCTATTCATTTCCTGTGCACATTTTCGAGTGGATCTTTTATTTTTGGGGGGAGGTCTAATATTTCTGAGTTGTATATTTATAAATTCTAGATATTAGTTCTCTGTCTGAGGACTAAGTTTATTAACTTCTGTAAGTCTCAATTTCCTTATCAGTAAAATGTCAAACAATAATAGTTCTTATGAAGTATGGTCACAAACTACAGTGGATGTTCAAATTTTAAACATTTATCACCGTAAAGGACACATCGCTTCTCCTTACTTCAAATACACTTATCCCATCTTTCTTGCAATTTTCTGAAGCAGTTCTGGAAGTTTTCTCTCATGTCTTTAGTTGCTCTGTCATGGCTGCTTTGATGTTCCAAGTTCATTCAAAACGTTTCCCTTTTACAGTCATTTCAGCTTTGGGGAGGAACCAGAGACCCATAGTGCTAGAGCCAGTGAATAAGTGTGGAGGAAGGACTGTGATTGCTAATGGATTGACTACTGATGGTCGGCTCATGATCCCCAGCCGGGCTGAGCGCACGTGGTGCGGGGTGTGGGAGGCTCGCCCGAGGATGGTTACCATCAGCTGAGAGGCAGGAATGGAAAGGGATAATGAATTTCTCCTGTTGATCTGAGTTAGGTTCTGGGTTCTAATAAAAGGCGATGGAGATGGGTGATCGAGGCTGCAGTCCCAGAGGCTGTGGGCCCCCTGATCCCAGACTTTTGCCGCTCCTGTTTTTCTTATCTCTTTTACTTTTTCATCTGCGGGCACCTTGCTCTTGGGATCTGTCACCACAGTTATTACTGACAAATAAGGTGGATGAGGAAACAGTGTCCTGTTTTTATGAGCCTGCCTGCCCCCTGGATGACAGCAGCAGCATTCACTGTATTTTTATAAAACCTGGTAAAGACACTCATGAAAGAGCACTTCCAGAACTGCTTCAGAAGGTGGCAAGAACAATGGGATAAGTGTGTTGCAGTTAAGGGGGAGGATTTTGAGAGGGATTAATGGCAATGTGTTTGGCTGTAATAATCTTTTCATTTAAACAGAGCCATATTTGATCAGCCCTTGTATCTCTTAGTTTTCATGAGCATTCAATGAGTTACTGTGTAGAGGCTCCTTAGAACACCACTGGGTATGTAATAAACAGTAAATAATTAATAGCTACTGTTATCTCACTAATAGCCATCTACACAATCCCACTTGCCTGCAGTCTGGCTGTTAGGCGTGGGGTCTCTGTCTTCCCCCTCTTAGTCACTTACCTAATCAATCCTGAATCCTCCTGGAACCACTGTTTCTCTCAGCTTTTACTCTTACTATTCTGGCCAAAATTATGAAAAATTTCTACGCCACTGAAACCATTTCCCAATATGTGTCCCGGCATTCAATTTTACCCCTCTGTAAACTGTTATTCACGCATCTCCTGTAGTAATATTTCTGAATCTTGATTAATACAGGAAGTGTATTTAAAGAGAAGTATTCTCAAGGAACACGGTTTGAAATACTCTGCCTTACAACTTTTAATCTATGAAAATGCAAGTTTTGAATTTTCTTTGCAACAGTGATATGTGGTTGTGCTGTTTGTTCATTTGTATTTGTGGAGCTGAGGATTGATCCCAGGGCCTTTGCATAGAGCTACACCCTGGCCCCCTTTTTATGTTTTAGTCTGAGACACAGTCTTGCTAAGTCGCAAAGTTGCTCACGCTGGGCTGAAACTTGTGATCTTCCTGCCTCAGCCTCCCAGAGTGCTGGGATTCCAGGAGTACACCTCCATGCTCGTCTGTGCTGCTTTGGAAGAAATATTAACATCCTCATTCCTGGTTGAGCCTTGAAGGTTTCTGTGGCACTTGAGTAAAAGCCACACTAAGCATGCTCTCTGGAAGCCTTTACCTTTCATGCCTTCTCGACCTGCAAGCATCATCTCCCTCTCTCGTACACTGTGTTCCAGCCTCAGGTTTTCAGTTCCTCTCCTGTGCCAACTTCCTTCCTACCACAGGGCTCTTGCATGCATGGTTCTGGTCTCAGATGGCTTCCTGCCTCATCACATGCCCCACAAATCCTTCTTGTGGATGTTGTGCCTTTGGGGGTGCTCTCCCTGCACCCAGAGCTGTATGTCCCATCTCCTGCTAACCACTGTCTTGACACCCTGTACCTTCTCCCGAAGTACTTATGAGAACTGCAATTAATTATTTCTCAACTATGTTTGTCTCCCTGCAAGGCTGTGGGTTCCTCGATGGCAAGAACAGGTCTCTCTTGTTCACTGTTGTGCCCCCGACTGACCCAGGCAAAATACCTATGACATAGGGGCGTGCCAAGTATTTGCTGAAAGAAATCTCAGATCCTTAAGCCAGATGACAATTAA